GGGCTGCCACTCCTTTGTCTCCCTGGCACACAGCAGGGGTGAATGAATGAGCAAAGCCCCATTTTACAAGAAAGGAAGCCAAGGCTCAAAGAAGGGGTGTGTGACTTGCCCAAGGTCACACCGCTCGTGGGGGGCTGGGCCAGAGCAGCCTTCTGACCCCGCCCAGGGCTCACACCACTCCAGGCTGCAGCCTCTGCCAGGGGAAAGCTATGCAGCTGGGAGGGAGGAAGAGCAGAACAAGAGCAATGGTGATAGGATGCCTGGGGGTAGAACCTGATAGCCAGGCTGGGGCTGATGTGCCCAGGGCTACTGTGCCTTCTCTGCCACTCCTGGGGTAGTCAGCTGACATTGTGGTCACTGTGTGTGTGTTGGGGGGTGGGGGAGCTGAGGCCCCCCTTGAGCTGAGAACTGGGCAGCTTGTGCAAACCAAATTATGGTGCATAAACAGCACCTCCCTTGACCTGGCCTCAGAGCGGAAAAACAGTGCCAGATGGCACCCATCACAGGCTGTTGATCTTCCTGACCTCCCCCGCACCGCCCCCGCCCCCAGCACCACTCACCCTGATGCCAGCTTCTCGGGGGACCTAGAGGGCAACTGGCACCTCGGAGGCCAGGTCTGCCTCCACCTGGGCTACGCTCACCCACTCTGCAGGCTCACCTTCCCCGGCTTCGCCCTGCCCCTGCCCTATGCCCTGCTTCTTTTGCTCAAAGCACTTAGCGGTGAGTTTGGGTTGTTTCCTTGTTGGTGGCCCCATGCACACCTGTCAAAGGGAGGGACGGAGGAGACAGGGGCAGGGACCTCAGTGTTCTGCCAGAAAAGAGAGTAAATGAGCCGAACTCTAATGCATGGGCAGGACTTGGCTGGTCAGGGGGTAGAGAAGGGAGGAGACATTTTAGCCTGTCCCAGACATCCTCCCCAGAGAGAGCAAGGCCCAGCCAAGCATTCCTGGGTGATGGTAGGGAACAAGAAGATGGGCTGAGACCGCTCGGCTGGCTTCCTCCGTGACCCCGGTGGGGTTGGGGTAAGGCTGGACACTAACACCCCATGAACTGGAAAGAAGGAACTTGGCAAACTCGTGACCTGCAAGGCCCAGGCAGCCACCAGGGGGCAGCCTTTCACAAGGCTGAGCTGTGGAGGGACCTTGCTTCTCAGATGGGTCATGCTCAGTATACAGAGCCTCACAGTTCTGACCCTTAACCTGATTCCGCCGGGTCACGGGGTCACGGTCAGAAGCAGAGCTTCAGTTAGCCACGCCTGATTCCAATGCCAAGCTCCCCTGTCATGTAGGAGCCTCATGGCCTTCAACTTGACCCCTAACCTCCAGGCTTAAGAAAGGGTATAGTGGCCCTAGCTGGTTTGGCTCAGTGGATAGAGTGCCAGCCTGCGAACTGAAGGGTCCCAGGTTCCAGCCAAGGGCACATGCCTGGGTTGTGGGCTTAATCCCCAGGAGGGGGCGTGCAGGAGGCAGCCAATCCATGATTCTCTCTCATCATCGATGTTTCTATCTCTCTCTGCCTCTCCCATCCTCTCTGAAGAAAAAAAAAAAAGCGTGAAGTGTGGACAGAACCCAGTCCTCACATTTACTGTTTGCTGGGTACCAGGCTCGAAGAGCTTGGTGCTTGAGAGATTGGCAGTGCCCAGTCAATGTGAGCTATTATCATGACCACAGCCTCCCTGGGCAAATGCTGTGACCGAAAAGCAGCCCGGTGCAGGCAAGAGACTAGCTTTGGAGTCTCTAGCCGTGTGGCCTTCAGCTGGGAACTCCACCTCTCGGAACCTCCGTCAGTCTTTCCATCTGCGAAGTGGGTAGAACAACCTGCCCTGCTTCAGAAGGTTGTTCTGAGGACCTGATGAAGTGGGTGTAAAACCCCGACCCAGCGCCCGACGTCCTGAAGCCCCCGGCCCAGCGCCCTACATCCTGAAGCCCTGTGGCTGTCCCAGGCGGAGCTCACGTTACCTGCAGCTCGGCTGCTGTCACTTTGTGGTAGATGAGCTCCTCGTCCCGGCGCTTCTCCTGGGGGATGGTGATGTTGGCCAGCATCGTCTCAAAGTCCAGGATCTGCTGCATCTGGGGCCGCACGGCGTCCTCGTCCCCTCCGCCCAGCAGCTTCCCCAGCTGGACCATGTAGTTCAGGTAACCCGTCAGCACCTGTGGGACCCCCGAGCCTGTCAGTGGCTGCCACCACTGCCCCTGGTGGCCCAGCGCAGGGAGGGGCTGGTGCTTTCCCCGGGCACCCACCGGAAACAACTTCTAGAATGAGTTCGGCAGGCAGTGCACCACTTCACGGCTCCACATGGCCCTGGGGACCAAGGCCCCAGGTCCCCAGGAGGGTGGGTCCCTGCTGTCCAGGTCCTCATTCCCTCCCGCATGCTCCTCCCAGACAGCAGTCTTTCAGGGCCTGGAACTCACTTTTCTGAACTGTCCTCTGTGCCCGCCCCCCCCACAACCCCCCATCTAAATTAGGTCCCCAGGTTACCTTCTCAGTTCACCTTCCTTATCACCATTTGTCATTATGCCTCTAATTGGTGGTTAATTAACATCTGCCTCCCCTACTAGACCTGAAGCCCCATGGGGCAGGAACCAGGCGGCCTTGTTCACCACTATCTCCCCAGCATCAGCCATAGCAGGCACTTGCTCATCAGGCCAGGTCTCCCCGGGACACCACGGATGCAGCCAGGGGGATGGGAAGGCGTGGGTTTTAGAGTCAGCGGGTCTGGATAGGCATCTCAGTCTCCGCTAAGTGACCTTGAGCAGATCACGTATTGCCTCTGAGCCATACTCTCTCCTCTGAAGTAGGCAAGGTAAAAATAATACCCAGGGACAGATGAGGCGAATGAAGGTCAGAGGAGACGTTCGGTATCTGCAGGGTCACTGGAGGGCCACAGGTGCTGTGAGTATAAAAGGCCCAGCACCCCCAGATGGCAGGGCTGTACCGCTGCATCGCTCTAGAATGGGGACACATGACACCTGCTCCTGCCTATTGTGCCCATGATGCCTGGATGTGAACCAGCCTCACTCTGGAATGGGGCCATATGACAGCCTCCCTGCCAGGGACTGCGTGTCACCTATCGGGTAAGTGACACCTCAGGGTTCCTGTTCCTCCAGCTTCAAAGACCTGAACACTCGGGGGACACGGGTGGGGGACCAACCACTCGGGGGAGAGCTGGGGGAGGAGCCACTCCCTTTGCAGAGGCCCACTCACCTTCTCATTTTCCGTTTTGTTCAGGTAGTAATCCCTGGAGGGCAAGCCCAGGCCAGCCTGGTCCACCTGGAGAGGAAGGCGGGAGTGAGAGGGAACCGCCTGTGGCACACGCACCCTGCAGGCCTCCACCCACCAGGAGGAGCAGACAGCTCACTAGCTGTGTAACCTTGGTCAAGTCACTGACCCTGCCTGACCCCCAGGTTCCTCATCTGCAAAATAGGGGGGAAACAGCTCGCCCTCAGGCTGGAAGGGGGGTTCAAGGAGAGAGTCCCAGTAGAGGGCTTGGTGAGTGGGGGGCTGGTGAGGACTGTCCACTCCCAATAGTTATGGCCACACCTTGTCAGACCTAAGTAGGTGTTATTATAATGCGTTGGATCTCTTCTCGGCCATTTGGTTAAGATCCAGTGTACAGTTCATTTCATTGGAAAGGAAATTGAAGCTCAGAAAGGTTGAGGCACTTGCCCAAGGTCACACAGGGAGTGAATGGCAGAGATTGGAGGGAGCTCAGCCTTCATGGAGAGAGGTGTACTCAAAGCCATTCCAGGCAGAGATACAAAGGCTGGAGGCTGAGGTGGGGGGACCAAGACATGGCTCCAGCTGAGCCTAGGCCAGTGGTCGGCAAACTCATTAGTCAGCAGAGCCAAATATCAACAGTACGGCGATTGAAATTTCTTTTGAGAGCCAAGTTTTTTAAACTTAAACTATATAGGTGGGTACATTGTTATTAACTTAATGAGGGTACTCCCAAGCTGGCCTTTGCTAAAAACGTCCTCAATCTGACTGAGGTACATTCGCTGAGGTCGACCCCTTCCAACTCTCCCATCCACACTCGTCTTGTATTCTAGTTTCGTCTATCTCCTTTCCGAAAACCGACTTCTGCGCATGGGCCACGAAGTTTCAATCGCACCGTACGTGCGCGCCCGCACGTGGTATTCTGTGGAAGAGCCACACTCAAGGGGCCAAAGAGCCGCATGTGGCTCTCGAGCTGCGGTTTGCCGACCACTGGCCTAGGGGTTGACCTCATCCCTAGAGCCCACGGTGACATAGCAGAACCCTGAAGATCCCTTGGTGCTGCAGCAGCCACACCTACCCCAGGAGACAGCCTGTCCTTTCCAAACTTCTTGCCGGTCAAGCTCTCACCATTGGGAGCCAAGACTGTCTGCCAGGCCAGGGCAAGTCCCCTCCCCAACTGCCCCAAGGCAGCGCTTGCTGAACTCAGAACAGCCCATGAGGTGCTGCCCGCTCCTTCCTGGAATTCCAGGTCAGCTCACCTGGATCACGTTGCTGTTGGAGTTTTTGGAATCGGCGCTGACATAGACGGAGAAGAGGGGCGAGGTGCGGTAGCGGGATGTGACCGCCTCCAGGATCTCCTGGAAGTTGTCCTTGTCCCAGGGCCCTGTGATGTTCCAGCCCCCGAGCTGTGCGGAGGGAGGGAAACAGGGAGGGGTGAGACGGCGGGGCGACCCGGGTGTGAAATATGCTTCTGAGGCCGACAGGCTCTGTGACCCTGGCCAGCCACCTGACCTCTCTGAGCCTCAAGAGCAAACGAAAGGGAGGCCGTCATTAGCAAAGACGCGCACCCTCGACAAGGGAGCTGCCGGTCCACGTGGCGGCTGCTCCCTGGCGGCTGGGGGTGGGGCGGGGAAGACTTTTCCGGGACTCTGTTTATTTTTCTAGCACTAAGTCACATGAATGTCATTCCTACTGAAGCATAAATTCAATTGTGCCTAAAGCAACATATTTCTTTTATTTTTAAGCTGTACTTACTTATTTTTCCATTACAGTTTACTTTCAATACTGTCCTATATTCTTTTCAGGTATAAGGAAAGCTCTGTATTTTTTAAAAGATTATTTTAGTTTCTCTCAGAGTTAGATTTTTAAAAATCTCCTTGGTGTTCCTGGTTGGGCTCATGTTGGAGGGGGAGGGACGGTACAGTCCCCAGTGTGCACAGCTCCCCACCCGCCCCAATGCCTCCCCCTCTCCCCGCAGCCGAGCTGGAAGGCGGGGCCTGGAGAGAGCAAGGGCCACCCCCGTGTGTGCGCCAGGCAGCCTGGCAGCCCCGGGCCAGGAGGCCGTCGAAGGCTGACCGGAAGGTGCCCAGGAAGAAAGACTCTTTCTCCTGGTCAGGGGGCCGGGGAGGCCCTGGTCAGAGGGAGGGCTCTACTTGCGCTGCAAGACTTCCTGTTGCTTCTTGTGGACACACCCCTGTCACACACAGACACTCTCTGAGGACAAGGAAGCAGCAACACAGAGAACATTTCATCTGTAAATACAGCTCCTGTCCCACACGCAGATGCAGAGGCACATGTGTATGACAGACCTCCCCACACAAATACACACACGGATGCGAGGCAGCCAATCAATAATTCTCTCTCATCATTGATACTTCTATCTCTCTCACCCTCTCCCTCCCTCTCTGAAATCAATAAAAATATATTTTAAAAAAATAACAACAAATACACACCGGACAGTCCCACCCACAGAGAGATGAGCATGTGCATGCACACACACACACGCACACACACACAACCCTGGCACTGTCAGCAGACAGGCTCCACCATCCACGGCCGGTCCTGGTGGCAGCTGGGCGCTGGGACAGAAGCCAGAGGGGCAGGCAGGTGGCACGGGCGGGGGAGATCGGGAAAGTCTGCCGGAGGAACTCACCCTCTCAATCATCTCCATCAGGGGCTTGGCCTTGAGCTCCTCGATCTTGGTCTCGTTCATACACGCGCGGTAGTACACCTGGGCCTTCTTTTCTGCTTCGCTCACACTGGCTGTGGAATTTTCTGGAATGACAAGAGAGCCGTTTGCGACATGCCCCCCGTCCCGCTGGGAGCCCTGGGTGGGCCTCTGCAGGCCTAGGGCCCTGCCTGTCAGGGCAGCGGTGAGGAGCTGTCAGAGCAGGTCCAGGACTGCCCCAGGGCACAGCCTGGCAAACGGGAGGTGCCCCTGCTTTGAGCTGCTCGCAAACAAGAAGAGAATAAATACACTGCTTCCCCCGCCCTGGTGGTCGGGTGTGCAGACGTGTCCCTGGTTGGCAGTGTGGGTGCCCAGCTGGGGGCCGGTCTGCTCCCCCTCCGGCCGCAGGGCCCCAACACCCCCGCCTGGTGCATGGGACAGGCCTGTCTAGGCTTCAGATCCCAGATGGCCTCCCCTGTGATAAAGACTGGGAGTTGGGCGGCAGCCTTAAAGGCCTCACTCATTTTATGAATTTCAGCTTCTTCCTCTGAGGGCCCGGGCATGTTCCTCAGATTAACAGTAGACTCAGGGGCCGTTTGCCGTTTCCCTTCACAAACCCAGTGGGCAGCGTCACAGCCCCTTACGCTGGGATACCCGGGAGACCGTCCTCCTCCCTGTCCTTGGGCCCTGGTCCAGATGCCACCTGCTGAGGGCCGTGCGAGAGCTCAGGGCAGGGTCCCAGCGGCACCCGGGGAAGGTGACCACTTCCTGCTGTTCAGGCCACAAGGACCTACTATGTGCCTGAGCTTTCGTCTCAGGGCCCCAACGCCCTCAGTTCCCTCTGTCCAGCTTGCTCCCTGGGGGGCTCCTCGCTGCTCTGGCCACTTTGCCTCAGTTCCTATTTGTCTTTCCTGGACCCTGAAACTCCCTCCTTTGCTTCCTTCAAAAATACCCCAAACCCCGCGCCCTCCATGAGGACTTTTTTGGTGGAAAGTTACCCATTCACCCACTAAACAGACGCTTACTCTGTGCAGGCTTTGGGGGTGCAAAGACAGCCTCCCTGTCCTCTGGAAAAAAGCCAGGTGGGGAGGGGACCGACGAGAGTGGGCTGGAAGAGGTTTATGGGGAAGAGGAGGACCATGGCCCTTCTGCATGGGACCCTGTCCAACTCTCCTCGGCCTTCAAGGCCCCTTCAGGGGGCTCCCACGAGGTTCATTCATGTAGGCTCTCAGCACTGAGCACCTACTGGGTGCCAGGCTCTGGGCTGGGCACCAGGGTTTACAGCCTCGAATAAGACCTGCTCCCGCCCCCAAGGAGCTCAAGGTCTAAGCGTAAACACAGGCGTACAAAGATGTGGACCTCGAGGCCCCAAAGTGCTTTAACGCAAATGGTTCTGGAACCCAGAACAGAAGTCACACACTTGGGTGGGGTGGGGCCCGGGGGCCTCCAGAGGGCGTCCTATTTGAGCTGCTTCTGGAAGGTGAAAAGTTACTCACCAGGTAGGAATGAGGGAGAGCAGTACCGGGTTTGGGGGGAGCTGGAGAGTGTGAGGAAGCACAAGCATAAAAGGGCATGCAGTTTGCAGAAAAGAAATCCATTCTCAGCCAGCTGGTGCAAAGGACACGAGTCACTTCCTGGCTGGTCTGATCAGCTTGCCCGGCCTTCATCCTGAAGCTCCCCCGCCCCCAGTTCTTACCCTAAACAGCACCACGGTGTCCAATGGTTGCAGAGTCAGCCCTGCCTGGCTGAAGTCAGGGGACAGCCCGAGAGGGAGGGGTAGTTTGCAGGGCGAGCGGGTGACAGTGTGCCAGGGAGTAGTGAGGAGCTATGGGGGCACATTGCCCTGCAGGGCAGCACCAGCATGTCCCCGTGCCCCTCCGAGCAGGAGAAGCGCTCCCTGGAGGAAGGGCAGGGACTTGTCCCGGCTCTTCACACTCAAAAAGCAGCAACGCAGGAAAAGCGAAGTGTTCCCCACCCCCTCCCGGGGGGTGCGTTTCTACAACACCTCCCAGCAGCTAGGCTCCTGGACGGGAAAGCAGGAATCCTCACTGGCTGGCCACATCTGGCTCTGGCCGTGACCCTGAAATGCCAGGGCCAGCGTCAGGGGAGGTACACTCTGTGCGCTCCGGCCCATCAGGGGGCCGGGCACCTCCCTCCCCCAGTGCCCCAAGGCCACCCAGATAAAGGCCCACAGAAAGGCTCCAGGAACAGGCTGGCTGGCTCATTACAGCAACTTCCAGGAGGCCCCCTCCCCCACCTGTTTGCGGAGGGGCAGGAAAGCAGCCAGCCTCCTCCTCTCCTTCGGGGTTCAAACTCCCCCTGAGCTCTGCCCCCTGGGTGTCACTCCACCCATTTCCCCACAAATATTACCAAGTTCTTATGGTTTGGTGGCCACCAGGCTGAGTGCAGAGGTGGCATAGGCAACACGGACGCGAGTCTGACGTCATAGGGCCCGCAGCCCGCACAAGGGCGAGACAGACAGGCGGCCATGACAGTCACCAAGGCCTGGGATTACACAATGGGGCACGTGTGGTAAGAATCACCCGAGGCCGTGGGGGAGGATGGCCCGGAGGCAGCGATCCCTGTGAGCTCTCGATGAGCTCCACGTGGAGTGGACATGGGCTGCCTCGCCCACCAGTCCGGGTGCTGGTCGTGCCTGCTCCCCAGCGCCGGTGGGCACACAGTAGCCATCAGCGACGTCTGCTGAAAGCACAGAGCCCAGTGTCTGCTGCTGCTAAGACGGTCGCAGCATCTGGGGGCCGACAGGGTGATGAGGTGCAGCTGCACACTGCCTGGGGAGGAAATGAGGCAGCTGGGGCAGAAAGGGACAGGAGTGAGGGTCCCACCAGGAGTCAGTGTTCATACTCCCTGATTCCCTTGCTGACCTGGCTGGGGCGGGAGCCCTGAAGAAGGGAAAACCCCTCCCCTGCTCACCCACCTCCTCACAGGGCACTACTACCTGGCAGGTACCAGGGGGACAAGAGCTGAAGGGAGATGGCCAGGTGGGAGCCACTGTGACAGTGAGCGGTGAGGGCTGGGCCAGGTGGCAGCAGACAAGGGGAGAGAAGCAGAGGGAGCAGGAGGGAGAGGAGTCAGTCCAGCATGCTGCCCAGGTTTCTTGGTCTGAGCAAAGGGTTGCTACTGAGGTTCGGAAGGCTGGGGTGGGGGCAGGGGTGGGAGTGCAATAGCTCTTCAGATGTCTATTTAACCTGAGATGTCTATCAGACATCCAAGGGGACCTCTCTCTGGGTGGGAGTTTACAGAGCCGTGTCTTGAACTACTTGGAGTCCGAAAGGACCCTGGCGTATACAGACACCTTAAACTTGGCCATGAGCCCCAGACCACTCATTCGCAATACGGGCAATATTGCCCCCAAGGGGGAGAGAATTAGTTCTTAGGGGGTAGAAACAACTTAATATTTTTATTTTTAAAGGAGTTAATTTTTTTTCTAATATATTTTTTATTGATTTCAGAGAGGAAGGGAGAGGGAGAGAGAAACAGAAACATCCGCGATGAGAGACAATCACCGATCGGCTGCCTCCTACACATCCCACACTGGAGATCAAGCCCGAAACCTGGGCATGTGCCCTGACTGGGAATGGAACTGACCTCCTAGTTCACAGGCTGATGCTCAGCCACTAAGCCACACCAGCTGGGCCCAACTTACTATTTCCATGGGTACATACAGTGCGTAACAGGTCTACAGTGTATCTGTGGTATTGAACTTTTAGGAGGAGGCAATAATGAAAAAGGCTGAGAAACACTGCTGGGGCTGACCTGGGTCCTGCACCTCCCAGCTGCCACCTGCTACCTGCCGCCTGTCTCCTCCTCTCCTCATGTCCACGTTCCTGCCCCAGGGCCACGGTGCTCACTGTTCCTCCTGCTTGCCACACTCTTCCCCTCACACCCATGTGGTCCGTTCGCTCACTCAATTCAAGTTCCTCCTCGAATGTCCCCTCCTCAGAAAGCCCAAAGCCCACCCTTCTCTGCCTCCTCATCCCCCTCAGGCCACACATGTTCTTTGCTTTTTTTTAACCCCCTAATTCTTCATAATCGTATTATTTACTCATTTATTTGCTTACTGTTTGTCTCTCCTGCTGGAATGAACTTCCACAGGAAAAGACTGTCATATTCCTGACACAATGTCTGGGACCTAGCGATGTCTGGCACATAGCGTGCAATAGAGTCACTGAGTGAATGAATGAATGAGTGAGTGAATGAATGAGTGTGTCCTCTGGCAGCTCCACAAAAAGAGGTGTCGACCACTTCAGCCTGAGGGAGGAGGCTTGGGTTCAAAGTGAAAGGAGCCACAGACAGCTTCCTCTCTGGGAAAAGCGTGGTTTCCTGTAAGACACCCTAGCCGAGAAGGTTCCATGGGACCAGCAGGGAGGCATCAACAGGCAGTTCCCAGAACTGAGTCGGGAGGTGGTGGCACTGCCAGGGCCCCAGTGGAGATAATGTGGCTCCCAACTGCCTGGGTCCTTCCTCCTAGCGAACCCGAGTTCCAGAAACTTCCTCAGTCACTTCCCCAAAGTCCCAGGGAGGAAAGACAGCACACCATTTAATCGGCCCGCTTCTTCCTCTGGGAGTTTATACTGGCACAGCCCCCGCCTCACTCCCCGGGAGGAAAAAACGCCCAGGCAGCTGGGCCGCTGCAGAAATGGGGGTTACTGGGAATTCTGGCCAGGAGCTTGTGGGGGAGGGAGAAGCAGGGGAGGGAGGGAGCAACTCCACATCAGAGCAGGACCAGTGTTTGTCTTAGATAAACCCACAGACTCAGCTCAGACAATCCCAGCCCTCAGGAGCCCCATCCTGTGAGGGGATGTGGGGACCTGATACGGGAGGTACCTTTTGCTGCAGAAGAATCAAAAGAATAATAACACGGCCACCATTTCCCCTGCCCACTTCAGGCCAGGCCCTGTGCTGAGACCTGTTCGTCAGCACCGACACCCTGGGGTGCACAGGATCACCTCCTGTCAAGGCGCCTGCCTAGGGCAGCAGAGCATCATCGGTCAGCCTCCCTGAGAAAATGAGCTGCTTCCTGTGTGTGGGCGTGGCTGTGTGTGCATCTTGTCATAACAATCTCCACCGGTGGGTGTTAGTATCACGCCCAATTGATAGGCAAGGGGCCGGGGAACCGGTCCAAGGTCACACAAGTGAGTTCCCGAGGCTGCCAGGACCAGGATGGGAGCCCAAGCTCTCTCTGCTTTCCCTGCCTTGCCTGCAGGCCGGACACCCCCTCCCACCCTCGGGCCAGGTCATCCATCAGACCATTTAACCGCCCCCCCAAACAGGAGGGAAGGGCCAGCGGCTGCAGCCACGGTACTGGACAGAAAGCATTCCCTACAGGCTCCGGATGACGCAGGAAGAGGAAACTACATTAGACAGTAAATACTGGAAAAATAAATCCGAATGAAAATACAAGAGCTGTCACAGGTGACAGGATTAATTGCCCAGTGACTGACATGGACAAATTTAATGCTACAGGAATAACCCTGTATGTGTTTCTCGGGGAGACGTGTCAGGGGGAGGAGAAAGGCAGGCCGCTAACTTTTTCTTCACGGAATCTGTATTGCCTGAATGGTTACAATAAGCAGGCATGAATTTTTGTGTGTGTGTATTACTCTCATAATGTAAGACGTAGTAAAGGTGACGGGTACACAAAATGTAATTGTAGCTGAAGCCGGAGAGGCCCTTTGGTGGCCATGGGAGCCATGAGGGAGGAACAAGTTTGAGAAAAGTCTCGCAGGACTGAAAGGGGGTGGGGTAGGGCCTCTGGATGGCAGAACAGTCTGTGCTAAAAGCACACGCTGGCAAGCCCAGGGCAGCCCAGCCCAGGAGGCGATCCTTCCCCTGATAAAGGGAGGACACACTCTGGTCTCCCATGAGGACAGCCCAAGCTGGCAGCTGGGTGGGCGGCAGTGTCTCAGGGACGAGGCATCTGTCTCATGCAGCTGAGGTCACTGCCCTCCAGCCAGCAGGCTGCAAGGACATGCCACGGTGGCACGAGGCCTAGTTCAACCCACCTGCTACAGATCTGCCTGGATTTCCTGTGAGGGGCTAGTGAACTCACTGTCACACAGGGGAGGTCTGCCCAAGGTCACGTGCAAGCTGATCCTTATAGCTGCTCTGCATGGCCAGCTGACAGTCCTCACCGGCACTCTGCCTGTGCCTTCTCCCCCTTCCACCTGGGGAAGCTCACCCCAGGCCAGCTGGGACAGCCTGCACACCCCCCCTCCTTGCCTGGTCCAATCCCCATCAGCCTCAGCTCCCTCCTGAAGCCCGTTGGCTGACCCCTCTGTCTTGGGGAAGCTGAAACCAGCTTGGCCTTAAGCCCAAGAATGCACTGGCCCACGCTCCTGGATTTTTTTGTCACCCACTCACCTGTCTCCTGGCTTTTCAGGCATTTCCAGGTACCAAGGCCTGAAGGTGAAGGGCCATTTCCAACTAGTTCCCAGGAATGGGCCTGGGGCGAGAGGACCCCAGGAGGAAGCTCCTGGTCAGTGTGACATGGGGGTGGCCCCAGCTATTGTGTTCACCAGGCCTAGACCAGCCTGGGCCAGCCTGGAGCTCAGCCACACAGGAGCTTGAACCACTGTGGCCGCTCCGCAGCCTCCGCGTGGTGAAGGTGACTCAGCAGAGTCAGGGGAGAAAGCATGTGGGTATGAGGCCCCACAGCCCTGGGGCTGAACCCCAGCCCCACCATTTCCTAGGAAGTACACTTCCTCTTTGTTTGTGAGCCTCATCTGTAAAATGGGCAGACACAGCCTATGCTGTGGCTTTAATAAAATACAAGTAAACAGCCCAGCACGATCGTGGGCTGATGACTGGCGCAGTCCGGTGCTTCCGTAAGAAATAACAGAAGCAATAATTACTCTCCAAACCCCGATGAACCCTTAGGACATCTCCCCTAATGCTCTGAGCTAGTCCCCACTTTCCAGGTGGAGAGCTGGGGCCCCGAGGGCGGAGCAGCTGCTCTGCAGTCGCCCGCTTGCTGGGAAGAAGTCTGGGCAGGAAGTCACTGCCACACCCGCAGGTGAGCGACCTCCTCGGTGCCAGGCTCTATGCTAAGCACGCTGACCCTCACATGCAAGTCAAACCTCACAGGAGCTCTGTGTGTTCGGTGGCATCGTCACCCCCTTTTTACAGACCATGAAACAGAGCTGGAGAGAAGCTGGTTCATCTGTTCGAGGCCACACGGGTGATAGGCTCGCATGCCAGGGCTGCCTGACCTCCAAACCCTGCAGTGTGGCCTTCCGATACCACCAGACCCCGGACCGGGGGCAGGGGCTTGAACGCACAGCTCTGGCTGTTCCGTGCCCAGCTCAGTGCAGCCCCCCGCCCCCATTCCTGACCTTCAGGGACAGGGTGGATGTAAGGCCAGAGCCCAGGGCTGCAGGCTACTCCTCATGGGCCCTGCCACCTGGGGGTGGACTCAGTCCTGGCACAGACCCAAGGTCCTCCTGATAAGAACCAGCCCCAGAACAGCAGGGTCGGGATCACAGGCACCGTACACCGTACACAGGGGCCAGTTCTGGGCCTAACTGGGAAGTTTAAGGGCCTGTCCATCCGCCTTTCTTCCCCTGTCCCCTCTCGGGGCTAACGGCTCCCCGGGGCTGGAACCCCTCTCCATCCTGACTGGCAGCGTGTCCTTGGTAAAGTTACCTAAGACTTCTAAGCCTCAGTTTCCTCATCTATAAAATGGGAACCACAGTGCCTACAGCCCAGGGCAGCTATGTGGATGGGGGGTGGGGGGAGGGAAGGGGTAGTATAAAGAGATTGGTCCAGT